AAGAGTTCCATTGTGTTCCATTCCGATTAGTAGGTTATTCCAAATTTCTTAACAGTCACGAGCAAAAGGGCAGTACCTTTTCTTAAAAACAAGACCAGAGTTAAAATTGGGCTCCTCAAGCCCTATATAAAGTCTAGAAGTCCTCATCAGTTGGTGCATAAGAAAACCCTAAAAAAGCATCAGATGCACTGGAGCAGCTGGCTGCAAGGTCAGGTGTGCGGGTGATGGAGTTTGGGACTGCTTCCTGAGTGAACTCTGGATCAAAGTGTCGCAGATCAGCAGGACCAGCCTAAAAAACAAAAGGCACAGCTGCCTATCATAGCAAACTTAACAGGCCTAAGCTATCAGTCAGGTTATGTATTTTAGGTAGAGTGTTTTTTAGATAGCTGTAACCTAGCCCTTATCTTGATGTTGATGTTCCCACACAAGAGACAAGAACTTAAGAGTTCCAAGAAATTTACTTGAATGACTTTAGCTACCAACATTAAAACAGGTTTTTTTCCTGGGGAAAGGGGAATGCAGTGTTCACTTTTCCCTATGGTTGCTCCTTCCCACAAAGTTAAGAATTCCTATTTTCTCTGCCATAATCATGGCCAGGCAAACAGAGACTGTATAAAGGGAAGAGAACAGAGAGAGAGATGGGCAGGCAAAAGATGCAAGTCATTTTAAGTTTCCAGGGGATGACATTTTTAGCTTCTTCCCATAATTGGAAGCAGCCAAAACATCTGAACAGGACACCTAACCATTACAATTCACAATTCCTTTTCTACTACTCATGTGGAGGAAATTGGATTTGAAACAGCCACGTACCACATTGGGATTGAATGGAGGTGTGATCCTCTTGTGATACAAGTCATCCCAGTTAATTGGGCTGAAGAAAACATGATTCTTTATGTCCAGCTGCAAAGAGGGAGATGGAAGTCACTTCCCTGTCAATCATCCTCAACCATCTTTCTCCAGCAGTCACAAAACAGACACAAGCTCCTCTGGAGCAGTTTGCAGCTTTACAACTTACTAATTCAATGTGCTGTATCTGCATAAAGCTTTGAGAGTTACTGGATCACACACAAAATGATACCATCCTATCCTGGCAAGCCAGCCTATCTTTATATCTTGACCCATGACAACAAAATCTCTCCTCTGCAGGTTCTGAAGTTCAGAGTGCAATTACAAGCTAGAGAATTTCCCGTTGTATTACCAACAGGAAAATTCACCCCCTGCCCAAACCAACCAAGAGTCATATTTCTTCACACTTAGACAACCTGCAATTCAGAACGCGTATGCAGTAGATATCATGGTGCTTTTAAATGCAACCAAGCAAAGCAAAGCTGTAAGATCCAGGGTTTGAATGATACCCTAGAGAGGGGAGAGTAGTCAGCATCTTGACATTTAGGAAGACTTCAGATGAGGATCTTCCATTGTAGTATAGTTACTGAGAGAGAGGAGAGAGACTTAAAGTAAGGGTGTGGAGAAGAAATATCCTAATACAAGAAATACCACATACAAAGTCCATCTTGGCTCCTAGCCGCCTCTTCTGATCCTTGTGGAGAAGTCCCTGTAAGATATCACATGCTGCCATGGTCTTGGTTCCTTGGATCTGAAGTGGTTGATGCAGAATGTTGTCATACATTTGAGACACATCTCGGCTGTAGAAAGGAGGCTGATGGGAAGAAGATAATCAGCAAAGACATGAGCTACTGCAATGAAGCCTGCAAACAAGCCAATTAATTCAAATTTCACTTCTACAGTGAATGGGTGACAGAGACAGGCTACACTTATTTTAGTAATATGATAATTATTTCAATAAGTACTTTCATTTAGACTGAGATCATTGGTCATGCTTCCTTAAGCAGGGAACTGCCTCAATAAACCGTAGTCCCTCTGCTCCTCAACAGGAAGTAGCGAGGGATTTTAACACTTACCAACCCAAACAGCATCTCATAGAGGACTGCTCCTAGACACCACCAGTCTACGGTCCTGTCATAGGGCTCTTTTCTTAGCACTTCTGGAGCCAGATACTGTGAAGAGTCAGAGAGGTTTCAGGCAAGGTCCCAGGAATGGATCCCCGTGACTAGTGTCCCTCCTGGTTACATTTAGTTGAGTTCAAAAAGCACATTACAGTGACACAGATGTGATGCCTGCTACCTTTTTAACAAATAATTTCCCTGCACAAAAGCAATACATTTAGACCTTTTCTAAAGAGGGTAAAGCCTTTTCTCTCCCTAGGCAACTCTGAACAAGGGACTTTAACAAGAACTCAGTGCAGCAGGCTAGCTCTTGTGATAGATGCACAGCTGCTTCCAAAATTACTAGCAAGTACAAGTCTAACACAGCTAAACCCAAGTTGCAGTTTTCCCTTCCTTATAGCCACCATGAAAAGATTTCTGTGGGTGTAGAGCTCCATTGACAGAAGATTTTTGATGCATAGCTGAGTTGGGAATAAACCCTTTGCCAGCCCCACAGACTATATCTGGGAACCCTGCCAATGGCATCTGTATTATTGCTTACCTGTTGGCAAGAATCATGCAAAAATTCAAATACAACAGCACACCAAATGCAGCAATATGAGGCTATTTTACAAGCTAACAATCTCAGCATCAGGCAGGAAGGGTAGATGTAGCCAAGTTCTGTTACAACAGTTGAACTCTTATTCTACTGATCAGTCTATGGGCCAATACAATAAGATTGGGGCCTCATATGAGTGCATTAGCTGCAATTCTGAGCTTACACATGCTAAAGGGTGAGCATGCCTGGAAAGTGGCAAGGGAGCAATAGCAAGATGAGATTTAGCACTCCAGCTTAGATTAGGAACCTCATTTGCCAAGGAAGAAGAGATTCCATTTACTGAGTGCAGCAACTCCAGTCATGCCTAGAAGCTACGATGCTCCTGTCAAAAATATTTCAGCAGCTTTGGGGGTTGGGAGGAAAAAAAGAATGCACTTTGAGAACTGAATGCCTAAGAAACATCTTTCCCAGACAGGGGACACAACTATCCCAGTATTTTGCATCCCTCACACTCTTGAGTATAATACATTGACCCTGGTCTGGCTGTAAAAAGCTACAAAAAAAAAAAATCACTGAGTAGTGGGACATCACAAGAACCAGGGGGCAAGACACCGTAAGTTAGACCTCAGAGTATTCTGATGCCCTCAGATGCAGGTCAGTACCAGATGACTATTAGCTCATCCATGCTCTGCGAGTAAACACCTTATACAGCTCACTCCTAGCTAGAAAGATAAACACTGCAGTGAAAATGCAGAGCTGCAGATGTCCTGGCTTCCAGTATCAAGGTTATCACCGTAGCTACCAATGGCATCGACAGGTTCTGTGGCACAGCCATTCCAGAATCAACAGGCTTCCCCTTCCTGCCCAGGTTGCAATGTTTTTAAAAAAAAAAAAAATTGCTTAAGCTCCTAAAGACCATCAGTAAAAATTAACCCTGTTGTAAGTTAAAATAAATTCATCTACATACAAAAGTTGTACCTCTCTAACTATAATCCCTGCCCAGTGTTGACATTTTTATCATTTAAGTACCCTTATACCAAGGTAACTGTGTCCACACTATGAAGAAGAAAGAAGTAACTATACAAGTCAAAAAAAGAGAGCCCATGTGGACTAGGGTTCAGCAACCATATTTCATCCCATTTTCCCCCATAATGGAAGGCTCCCATAGATTCCCTATTTGTATCTTTGAAAATTGAACCCCTTTACCTGTGAAACAGCTTTTCAAATAAAAACAGCACTGGAAAAGGACAATGGAGCCCATCACTGTTAGAGAGAACTCCCCACTGGGGTGAATGAGACAGTGATTCCTCTTTTGAGGTGTCGGTTCAATCTGTTCATAAGCTATTGACCACTATCTACACAAGTAAGAGAAATACTGCAAACAGTGCTCAGTCATATGCCAACATGTTCGGTATCATGCACAGAAACAGAAGCTTATAGCCTGATGTACGTTTGCTTTGATTTCAGTGGGAGTTCAACAACCAGCAAAACTCTCAGGTTGTCTATGCTGTACCTCTGGGGTGCCACAGAAAGTAGATGTTGTTTCTTCTTGCTCCATTCCTTCTTTGCAGAGTCCAAAGTCTGTTAAGATGACATGCCCCTAAGGGAAGAGATATAAGCCTGATCAAACCCTTCCTGATGAACAGGCTGAACAAGGTTTCTAGACCCTTTGTGTCCCTCCCTGATATACCTTCCAATTCCTGGGCATACAATGTAGTCATCTATTAGAAACAGGCAATATGCAGTTATTTACAAGTGTACAGTGAATTTATCTGCTGGTCTATTAGACTAGCCAGACTGTAATGCTAGGCACAATCAGTTGGATATTTATCCCTAGGCCTGTTCAGAGAGTTGCTGTGATAGGCACTATATGACACCCGGCCTACAGCTGCTATATAAAAACACTTGAATTGCTTGTTCACATACCAGTGCTCAATTCCCAAGTTCTAGGAAAATGCAAGCAGTGCCTTGATAGTCAAAGGCAACGTTACATAGCATATTTGCAAGTGCAACACAGAATTGTGGCTTTCACTGCTGGAATATTTTAAAGTCCATGCAGTAACGTGTGTGCATACGTGTAGGAAGGAAGGAAAGAATCACACTTTCTTATTCCCGTCTACATCATACCCAAGACTTCTGGACCAGTGTTCCTCAGTCTTTGAAGGAAAATGCAGGAAGCAGGTATGGTTGCAAATGTACTGAACATACCTGGCAATCCAAGAGGATGTTTTCAGGTTTTAAGTCCCTAGAAAAGAAAGGTGATATGTAAACAGACTTGGCCAGATATTCAAAAGGGCTCAGCACATGACGACAACTGAAAAGAGCTGCTGGATGACACCTATTCTTGACAAGATGACTTCCTGGAGTCTTGGTGAACTGCATGGGGGTCAGGAGCATTGGAGTTGCAGCTCACAGGCATTATGAATCAGCCTACACATATCTTTTATTCATATAAATATGGTTTTCAGAGGCTGAATAAGCTGACAGGCACAGGTTTTGCACTGTGACAGAGTTCCAGCTGCTGTGGAAAACTTCCTCCTCTCTTGATCTATGTTGTATTAGAAGTTCTCTCGACCTGGATGCTCCCAAATTCCACATTCCCATTTGATAATGGATAGGGAAAGGTCAGGAGAATGGTGACTGCCCTGGAAGTGGTTCAGAGAAGTGCTACCCTGGCATTTGTGAAGCTCCCGGGACTTCCCAGATCAGGAGCATAGTTATAAAGGTTTCTGCTTGCTAAGTTCAGCAGAACAATGTCAGGGGGGTTATCCACTACAAGAGTCCTCAGCTTTGTTTTTAAAAGTTTTCCTCTTAACAAGGTGACAGCATTAAAACATCAAGTATTTCCCTTTCCCTCACCAGCAACTGCACACAGTCAAGTACAACAGGGGGCATTACCAATGCTGCTATGCACATCAGGAATACACACACCCTACCTGTAGATAATGTTCAAGGAATGCAGGTACCCTACAGCACTGGCTACTTCAGCAGCATAAAAGCGGGCACGAGGCTCACGGAAACAGCGCTCTCTTTGCAAATGAAAGAAGAGCTGTAGACACAGAAGAAAAAAATCCTGGTC